AAAAAAAGAGAAAATTTGAGGGGCTTAGGGATATGGTTTAATAAAAAAGTGATTGCTTAGCTCTGGGTTCCAGCAGTACAAAAATGAAAAAGAACAAAAAGAAAGAAAGAAAGGGGAGAAGGAATGAAAGAGAGAGCAAAAAAGAAAGGAAGGAAGAAAAAGTCTGAACCTCAATTCTGAACAATTTGAACCTTATGGGTGAACTTGGGAGAGAAATGAAGATTCCTGGCTTAGGCCCAAAGGAAGATATGTATGATATGATACAATCACTAATTCTGCAGATTGGACATCATTGGGCAGGGGGTTCTGGTTCCAGGTCCTAGCAGGAAAGTGACTGAGAGGAGTCAGAGCAGCTAGAGATCCTGTGGGCAGGTGAGGGAAGCATCAAGAGAAGACTGCATGGAAAAGGAAGAAGAGGAGAAGAAAGAGAAGAAAAAGGGCTGGGAAGGTGGCTCAGTGGTAGAGTGCTTGCCTTGCATGCAGAAGGTCCTGGGTTCAATTCCTCAGCACCACATAAGCAGAAATAGCTGGAAGTGGTGCTATGGCTTGAGTGGTAGAATGCTCTCTTTGAGCTGAAGAGCTGAGGGACAGCGCCCAGGCCCAGAGTTCAGGCTGATGACTGACAAAAAAAAGAAAAAAGAAAAAGAAGAGGAGGAGGAGGAGGGTTCTTCAGCCTGGAGACTGTAGGACCCAGTGTGGGCTCTGTGACAATGACAGTAACAGCTGCTACCAGTCAGCCCTGGCTGAGTGCCAGGCCCCCCTTAGGCCCCCAGACATTCTCAGGAAGCGAGAACTGCTCTTAGAGCCATTTTTGAATCCAGGAGTCTGAAGAAAATATGGTAGCATGCACGGTAAGTGTTATTAGATCCAGGCTCAGATTTGCCCAGCTCTAAGCCCTCATCTTTAACCCCTGGATCGCACACAGCAGGCTTGAAGGTGATTCCTGGAGATGGGGCTGTGGGCCTGCTATCGAGGATGGCCAGGGTAGCCAGAGAATCCCTCTGGATTTGGACTCAAGTGACTGGGATGAATTCACTGACACTCAGAGACCCCCCAACTCAGGGGGAAGCTACTGAGACACACCCTTCTGGGCCCAGATGACAGTAATGTGGTCTCAGAGCAAGGCCTTGTCCACCGACTTGACACTACCTACTCCTTGGGCCTGGTGTTTCCAGCCCTGTTGGGCTTGGTGGGGAGTGGGGAGCTGAGAAGAACAGTATGCCTGTTTCACATTGTTTGTCAAGTCACATCTTTGTTGGTTTAGACTCAGCTCTTCTGTCTTCCAGCAAGTCATTTGTGCCTGTCAGGAAATAACTCTTGGCTTGTGTGTTCCCACGAGAATCTGGGATTCCCACAGCTTACATTTTCTGCCTAAGGACTGAATCTGGGAGCCAGTCTCTCCCCCCACCTCTCTTTCTCTGTCTCTTTAGAGCACCAGCACCTGGTTTGAGCTGAAGGGGCTGTGGACAGCCACAGGCCACCCTCCAGGAAGAGGAAGCCGATGCGTAAGTACTGGGATTACTCATTATTCTTTGCAAGCCGCAGCACTTCTGGCTTTGGATTATGGTGGGGTGCTCTGTGGTGCTGTACACACAACAAAGACATATACGCACGTACACATAGTTGTGAATCCATGGACCACCTTCACACAAACATGCAATTCACATCCTTGTACAAGTTCCTCCATGAGCAACACGAACACAGGCTTCACACACATGTTCCCCACAGCATGCACCTATACAAGGCCCCCGGCCTTCTCTAGGTAACAAGGTGGTGTCTCAGTATTAGAATGTGTAGGAGGTAGAAGTGGGAGGTGGCTGGGTGAGTGGGGGTGGGTTCTGAGCCCTCTGCTTTCTGAATTCCTGGGCTTTGCTCTGAGTGCCTGCATCCAGCATCTCAGGAGCTTCTGCTGCTGTTTGAAAGGTTCAGATTGGCTCTACAGAGAGGAGAGAACCAGCTTCCTGATTCTTTTTTTCTGCCAGGTTCAGGAGAGAGGACAGGGTGGCTCCTCTGTGTAGCCAGGCTGCTCTATGAGCTCTTCTCTCTCACCATTTACCCATGGTGGACGAATCTGGTTCTGAAGGCTTTTGTATGGTTGTGGGAACTCCTCTTCCCACTCCTCTCTCCAGCTCCTAATGGCTGGGGCAGCAGGACTTGCTGCTTTGAGCAAGGACTAAGCAGACCCCAAGGGGTGAGGGGGGCTGGTAAGGCTAGGCACTGTGGTTTGCATGCAGTCTGTAGTCTGTCCCTGAGACACTTCTAAAACATTTATGTCTGGGGTCTGTGTGTCAGCTGAGTTCTGAGGTTGGTAGCTGAGAGCCAGAAGGCCTGTGATCATTGTGTTCCTATGGACATCTCTGCTAGGTTCAACAGAAACACCTGCTGTGTGCATGCTGAATACAAAGGAATGAATGAAGATGTGGCAGGCAGGTACTGGCACCAAGAGATAGATCAAAGATGTTTCTACCCTCAGACTAGAGAGGCAGGAGGTCTGGTCCCAGCATGTGCATGTGAGTGTTTTGTGTGTGTGTGTGTGTGTGTGTGTGTGTCCATTCATGCTCTTGCCTTCATCCTGGCCATGAGGAGCATATTGTCTTGAAATGCATCCTTAAGAATAGCAGGTGAGGGGCTGGGAAGGTGGCTTAGTGGTAGAGCACATGCCTTGCATGCCAGAGGCCCTGGGTTCAATTCCTCAGCACCACATAAGCAAAAAGAAAAAAGCCAGAAGTGGCGCTGTGGCTCAAGTGGTAGAGCGCTAGCCTTGAGCTGA